CAGGAAAATCCCGGTTTTAAGGATTCCAGGGGGTTTTGTGCCTTCAAACCAATAACCTGACACAGGTTGGGATCTTCTGAAGTGTGTTAGCAGTCATAGAAAGGCTTGGGTTGGAAGGGACCTTGTGGACCATCCAGTTCCATTCAGTGTTGTGCTACTTCAGAGCCATATCCAAAAACCTGTGACATTGAAATGATCAGACTGCAAACTTGGGCACGAGAGAACTCTAAGCAGCAAAAACAAAATTAAAAGACCTCTGGCTGGTTCTTCCACTGCACATTTTGGCACAGAATTTGCTCCTCAGGACTGGTCACCTTGTTTGAAAGTGGAGCAGACACGAACCACTCGCCCCGAGCTGCCTGCAGTGCCTTGTAAGCTGCTTATTTACTTCTTGTTCTTAATTTGTAAATCCTAAAAATACAGGAGGCAAGATAAGCGATTGGAATATCGTGTTGGAATGGTCTGGGTTGGAAGGGATCTTAAAGATCATCTGGTTCCAACACAGGCCCGTTTAAATATGTAGGTTTGGCTCTGAAAGTGTTTTTGTTTGCACCTGGGCCTTAACCACTGTCTGGTGCCTTCTGAGAGAGCTGATCAGGTCTGCCCTCCCAGGCTCAGGGGAGTGCCAGGCTCCAAGTTATTCCATGAACTGCCATCAGTCCCCTCCTGAGCAGGCTCTGCTGCCCCAGAGCTTGTTCCTGGAGGGCTGTTCAGGATGTGATCCTTGGAGCTGCACTCAGGTTGGGGGTTAATCAGGGAAATTTCTTTATCCTCCTCCCCCAAAAGTGCTCGGAGGGAAAGGTGAGAGAGTAAAACAAAGGGCAGCTCTGCTCAGCTGCTGTGGGGAGGAAGTTCTGGTTCAGAGCTTTGGGAGAGGCTCTGAATGGGAAGTTGGGAATTCAGCTGCTTTTCAGATCTTAAGGAAAACCGCTTAGGGAGGCTGCAGGTCTTGCAGGTGTGTTGGTATGGGCAGGAGGGGCCTTGTGAGAGTTATTTGTTGTAATTGTTTAGTACTTAGGACTGTTTTGGATGGAAGAAAAAGGCTGATCTCTGTCCTTCTGTCCTGCAGCTGAGACCTCAGAGGTGTTAATCAAACCCCAGATTACCTATGTAGGCGAAGAGTTGTTGCTTTTGTTGAGTTTTGGTGTTCTACAATACCTTTTTTACTGATTCTGGGATTATTTGCTCCAGCAGCAAGTACGTTTTCAGCAACAAAGAATAAATTAGCAATTAAAATTCTCACAGGAAGTAGTGAGGCGGAACTTCTGAGGAGTCATTACCCTGCTTCCTGCTCCTGAAGGGATCCCTGTGGGGAATTCTGCTGCACCTGGCAGGGTCTCACACAGCACACCCCGTTCCTGCTGGACAGACAGACCTGCCCAAAGCACCTGGGTCCTGTTGTCACCTGGCTGTGCTGGGAATGGCTTTGCATTCCACTGGGGATGGACTGTGGCACGCTCTGGCACTCCAGTCTGGAACTGTGGAGCTCTGGGGGGTGTCAGTGGCTGTGAGGACAGTGGTGGCAGTGGGTGCAAACCAATAACGTGGGAGAGGAGCTGGGGGCAGACCTGTGAGGGTCTGTGGGTTCCTCTCGAGGGGCAGCTCCAGTCTCTGCTCTCTGTGAGCAGGGACAGGACCCAGGGAACAGCTGGAGCTGTGTCAGGGCAGGGTCAGGTTGGGTATCAGGGAAAGGCTCTTCCCCCAGAGGGTGGTTGGGCACTGACCAGACTCTCCAGGGCAGTGGGCACAGCCCCAAGGCTGCCAGAGCTCCAGGAGGGTTTGGATGATCCTCTGGGGGACAGGGTGGGATTGTTGGGGTGTCTGTGCAGGGCCAGAAGCTGGACTCAGTCCTTGTTGATCCCTTCCCACATGGGATATTCTGTGAATTTAATAGCTACCAGCCCATAAGCTGTTTGGAGCAGAAGTTTTTCAGGATGCAGCGTGGGTAAGCCCTTGGGAAGGGGCTGCTGGTGGTGCTGAGCTCAGGCATCGAGCACTCACCCAACCATCCTGCCACACAGCTGTCCTGCACAGTACCACATCTGGAGCCTTGTGAGCTCTGCAGCTAATGGATTGGTGAACTCTGGCCCTGCTCTCTGTGTTCAAACCAATCCATGGAGGAGCCCAGGGCAGGGGATCCCTGGCTTTGGCATTCCATAGCTGTGTGTTTCCATACAGCTGCTGGAGCTGGCCCTGGGCAGCCCAGCTTTTCTGTCCCAGTCCAAGTAGGGTGACTACAAATAATTAATAGTGGGATGGGAAGGTTTCAGTGACCTCCCTCCCTGCACAGCTTGGTGTTCTCTCAGAATGCAGCTGGTGCTTCTAGATTGATCTAAAATAGATTGATCATCTGTACCAAGCTATCAGATTTAGTTAAACACCCAAACCCAGTCCATGAGCTCAAATGCAGTTGGTCAAGGCAGTCGCTAACACACCCCAAAACTTCAATGTGAGTGTAGATCAGCAGTTTTTCCTTTGCTATTGGGAAATAGAGTTATTTCCCCACAGAACTTACTTTCCCCAAAAACAACAGCCCGAGGAGCACAGAGATCTGTGTGTGTTCTGTGCGTGGAGAGGGGCAGCTGTGGAAGCCCCCAGGAGACCCAGGTGTGGAGGGGACGGGGGGTGAGGTGGGGCTGTCCCAGAACAGGCCTGTTGCTGAGGGCTGGCGGGTGTTGAGCAAGGCCCTGAGCCCGGGCCAGGAGCCCGAGCGCTGCCAGAGGGAGCAGGGGGCACTTTTCCAATCCTTGAGGAAAACTTCCTCATCCCGAACGGGCAAGTAGGAAACAGGCCTGGCTTGAGAGAGGGCAGGGGAGGGGGACATGTCCTGGGTGTGCCACTCAGAGGGGCCTGGGGAGGGGGGCAGGGGAGGGGGGCACGTCCTGGGTGTGCCCCTCTCGGGGGCCTAGGGGGGCGGGGGGGGGCAGGGGAGGGGGGCAGGGAGGGGGCACGTCCTGGGTGTGCCCCTCTCGAGGGGCCTGGGGAGGGGGGCAGGGGAGGGGGCACGTCCTGGGTGTGCCCCTCTCGGGGGGCCTGGGGAGGGGGCCGTGTCCCCGGGCACTGCGATAAGGCCGGAGTAGATGCAACCGGTGTCTGCCCTGACACTGAGGGCTGTGCTGGCTTTGCATGTCACCAGCTCAGTTGTTTTCTGGCTGCTCAAGGAGACGCTTTGATCAGCTCTTAACAGTTGGTCTGGTTTTTTGGAAAGACAAGACTTGTGTCACGTCTCAGCCACTGACTTGGGAACACAATTTGCCCTGATGGAACAGGCTCGTAGGTGCTGTGCAGTGTTGAATTTGGTCCCCTGGCTGGTGCAGAAGGGTCGTGACGTGATGTCACACCACAGAAGTGAATCAGAGTGGAAGGCAGGACCTTTCAGTTGCCAGGCTTTCAGTGCCCTGGTGCTCCCAGTGCACCTGCAGCTCTGCTGGGGTGACTGGGCTCTCACTGCCATTACCTGCTCCTGAAAAGGGCAGGTGAGAGGAAGTTTAATTTTTTTTGTTAGGAGGAATCCCACCCTGTTCCTGAGAACATTGTCCAAACACTCCTGGAGCTCTGGCAGCCTTGGGGCCGTGCCCACTGCCCTGGGCAGCCTGTTCAGTGTCCCACCACCCTCTGGGGCAGGAACCTTTCCCTGAGATTCATCCCAAACCCTCCTGACACAACTCCAGCCATTCCCTGGGTCCTGTCCCTGCCCACGGAGAGCAGAGATTGGAGCTGCCCATCCCAGGAAGCTGCAGACCCCCATGGGAGGCTTTTTTTTTTGAGTTGGTGCTTCATGCAGAGAGGGCTGAGTGTTGAGGTGGCTGTAACCAAGCTTTAATTACAGAGTAAATGGCTTTGGTGGAAGTTTTGTCACACCCAGAAGTTGATAAAGAGGTGCCGAGCTGGCAGCCTGGCAGGGAGCTCCTCTGAGCACTTACCCAGGCACTTGGGCGTGCTGTGACATGAAACCCTGCAGATTTGGGTGCTCTTTGCAGAAGATGAGTTGTTCCAGTTTTAAGCAGTTTGGGTTGGGGGTTAGCCATGACTTTCCCATCTGCTTGGCGATATCTCCAAGCTGGATTATCCAAAGGTTTCCCAACGAGGGGCTGGATTAGCACTGCTCTGTTATTTAGGACCTGCCCCACAGGTTTGTCTCTGTCTCAGGCCTGGCTTGGCAGCTGTACTTCTGCTTTCCCTCCAGTAGCAGATGCTGGCAGACAGCAGTGGCTGAGGGTTTGTGGGTGAGGGAGGGAGGGTTTGGTTTAACCAGCAGGCTCTGGTGTGGTGCCGCCTTTGCAGGGTGTGCTGGAGGCCTCGGGACCCCCAGAGCTCTCCAGGAGAACCAACTGGGGCCTGAAATAAGATGTAGCCTCTGATGTATCCCCTAAACCTGCCTGTGCTTTGTTTGCAGGAAGCTGTTTGTGGGTGGCCTGGACTGGAGCACGACACAAGGTGAGGGATGTGTGCTCAGGCCTTGGGCCTGTGTGGGCAGCCCAGAGCAGAGCTTTTAACAGACTCTGCTCTGCTGGGAGCACTGGGCTGAGGCTCTCCTGCTCCTCTCTGCTAATTAATAAACCTCTCTGTAGAGAGAGCTCAGCTGCATGTTAACACTTCTGGGGTTATGTTTTCCATCAGTGTTTGGTGCTGGAGTTTTTGTCAACTCAGCCATTTTTACGATCACTTTCCTGTGGTACTATTTTCCATTTGTATGAGTGGAAACAAACTGTTATTTAGCCTTGGTTTACAGGAAGTAAAATGTGATCATTTTCAAAAGATGAGTTGAAGTGTTTCACTGTTTGCTTATCTGCTGGCTCATAGCTGCAAACACAGTCTGGTGCTGTCAGTGTCTGGTTCTGTTTAATATTTGCTTTTTTCCTTTCACAGAAACTCTCCGTAGCTACTTCTCCCAGTATGGAGAAGTTGTAGACTGTGTAATAATGAAAGACAAAACAACAAATCAATCTCGAGGATTTGGATTTGTCAAATTTAAAGATCCCAACTGTGTGGGAACAGTGCTGGCCAGCAGACCTCACACGTTAGATGGCCGAAATGTAAGTTGCTTTTGTGTTGGGGTTTTTCAGGGGGGTTTTTTCTGCTCCAGATCCAAAGATTTGCTTTAAATTCTGGCTCCTCATTTGCAGACTGGAGAGTGTCCAAGTCACCTGGTTGTTGGTTTAAGTTGATTTGTTGGAAGGCAGCTCTAACTCAGTGCTTTGGGTGACGATGGCTTTGTGCTGAGGAGCTGGGTGTCAGCAGTGCTGGGTGTCAGCAGTGCTGGCTTCAGCTGCCACAAACAGTAACTTTTAGAGCAAAATTCTGCATGCTGAGGTCTGACCAAACTGGAACTTCTTCCAGATTGATCCAAAGCCATGTACACCTCGGGGGATGCAGCCAGAACGGACACGACCGAAGGAAGGATGGGTAAGGAAAGATCCTTGTGTATCCTGCCTGTTGTCCAAGTTCTGGCTTAGCTTCTAGCACCTGAATTGAATTCCCTGTTACAGGGAATTATATCCGTGTTCTAAAGGCAGAAGTCAGTGTGCAGGCCTCGAGTGTGAATTTATTGCTGAAAAATGTCTTTCACTTGGATCTCCGTGGGCAGGCTCGAGGTGCAGTGCAGTGTTCATGAGCACTTGTGTCAGGCTGGGTGTGGTGTTCCTTAAGCTCTTAGTGCTGCTTTTAGTGAGTTCTTCACTTGGGAGCAGTGGCTGATGCTGTTCCAGCCCACTCCACACCCTGCAGCTTCATCAGATGTCAGTGTAGAGTGAGTGAATGGCCTCAGAACACAGGCCCTGGATTTCTGGTCCTCGGAAGAACAGGGAACACTGAACTCTGAGCTCGGGACGTGCTTTGCCTCCAGGACTGGGAGACTTCAAGGCTGGAGCTCTCCCCTCAGCCTGCAGAGCCCAGTGGTGGTGGTTCAGTGTGAAATGGCAGAGGCAGCTGACTTGGTTGTCCTTCTGACTGAATCTTTTCCTCCTTGGTTTAGCAGAAAGGATCCAGGAGCGATAACAATAAATCCAATAAGATTTTTGTTGGTGGGATTCCTCACAACTGTGGCGAGACAGAGCTCAGGGAATACTTCAAGAAGTTCGGAGTGGTGAGTCACTGGGGGAAGGGGCTTCCCCCCTGCTGCCTCCTCTCAGGGTTCCTCAGGCTGGCAGATTTGGGGGGAATTTGGACAAACTGCTGCAGGGGCACGTGAAGTGTTTTGTGATAAGCTGTGGTGAATGTTGATGGTCTGGAAATGGCTCCTGACAGAACCCATTGCTGGGGTGGGATTTACTGTGCTGCTTCTGTCTCCTTGCTTCAGCCTGCCTGGTACAATGTTCTGTCCCTTCCTCCAAAACTCCCAGGTTGAGGGGGCTTAAGAATGATTATTTTTGTCTCTTTCCCATCAGTGCATTACAGCTGGGCAGTTAAAAGTGCCTATTGATGTATTTTTCTGGGAACAACAAGTACCTCAGTGGTCTGAATTATAAGCTCCTGGTCTTTGTGCACATACAGGTTAAATTTGAGTCTCCTGCCACTGTTTTGGGAGCAGTAGCTGCTTTAAGTCACCACCTGGAATCAGCTGAGCTCTGGTGTCCCTGGAACCTCCATCTGAGACAAACTGCTACTCATGTTATACAGCTTTTAATTCAGTTTGTAACCTCAGACTGAAATTACTATTTCTTCTGATTTGTGGGGTTTTTTTCTCTATTTAGTTTTAATTCCAATTTATCACAGGTCTCACTGCCCCTTTAGGATGATAAACCATTGAATTAAATAATTCAGCTGTGAATAAGTTTGAGGAAGTTAAAGATTGCCTGAGGTAAATTCAGGACTGTGCCAGTGGGCATGAACTTGTCACCTTTGAGTGGCATTGTGGGTTTTTTTATGCTTAAATCACTTTTCTCTAGGATTTCTTAGTGGCAGCAAAGGATTTGTAGAGAAACAAGTTTGTCAAGAGTTAGTCATTTATCAGCCATATTTAAAGTTCCCTTGAGATAATTTATTTAAAACACAACAAGCAGTGGCTAACAACTGTTTCTTTAGCCTGAAAGGCTGCAGTAGGCCCGTAATAAAAACAGGGAGCACGTTCCACAGCAGTGGGATGTAGTTTCTAAAGGCTCTTCCTCCCAGACTTGGCTTTCCAGTTGTGCCCTGGCTGCTGGGGAGATAGAGGGGATGTCCTGCAAGGGTAGGAGGCAACAGCCACACCTGTAAGTGCCTTTGAGAGTAAGGGGTAGCACTTTATCATAGGATAGATATCAGGAAGTGTTCCTGCAGTTGTAACGAGTTCCTTTGCAGCAGTGGAGCCAAACAAATGTTTTGTGGCCACAGACACTGATCTTAGCCATGGTGATTGCCGGGGAATTAAGGCCATGGTGACCCAAATGGATCAGAGAGGGGAAAAGTCTGGCACTGTCCCGTGGCATAAACCCCCCCTGGGGCACCCAGCAGGGTATAGTCAGGTGAGTGTGTATGGTCCAGGAGCTCAGAGATTTTCTAGCTGTAAATAAAAGGCCAAATTGTGTCAGAATGTTAAGCTAACTCAGGGGATTCTAGTAAAAATACCCTAAGATTGCCTGGAAGATGTGATTCCATAAGATCACATCCCTTTTGTGACCACTTTTTGGCACCTGAGGAATTCCAGAGCAGTTCCTTCCAGCTGTTTTAATGTTGCCTTTGACATAAATGTTCCACCTCTGGCTTTGTTTAAATTGTAGCTCACAGTGGTGTTTATTCTGAGAAAAACAGTCTTGAAGCCCTTGAAAGGCAATTTCCATTTTTTTCTTTTTTTTTTAAGCTAAACCCAGACTGTTACTGCTTATCCAGAGCTTGGAGGGGGTTTGTAAAGCTGTTTAAAGCATCACTTTGACTGGTGCTCTGGGCCACAGTGGTTCCTTCAGAGCACTAAATGTGTTTGGAGCTCAAGCTGATCTTCATGGTGAGAGTGAAAGTGGCTAAAAATGGGGAAAGTCATCTTGTAAGGAGCTGCACTGATGAGCCCTTCTAAACCAAACCTTTGGGGTGTGGTGAGGGTACAAACAATGTAATGGCCTTAATGGTGGATTAAAATGTGAAGTGTGATGAGACAGTACAGCAGCTCTTTGGATGGATGGATGGATGGATGGATGGATGGACTGAGGCTTTCTAAACTCCCAGGAAGAGCAATATTCCTGTTTTTTTGTGCTGTGCCTGGGGTTGGTGGCTGCAGCTGAGCTGTGCTGTGTGGGTAGAGGGCAGGACCCAGCCTGTGGTGACTGTTCCAACCCTCCCCTGGCAGCACAGTGAGCAGAATTTCCCTTCTCTCTTCCAGGTCACTGAAGTTGTAATGATCTATGACGCAGAGAAACAGAGGCCCCGAGGTAAAGGCTGATCTAGTTTGTCCTTGAAATTTCTTCATACTCTCCTATAGTCAGATGGCAAACTATTTCACACCATCAGAAAAGGTAGATTTTTTTTTTTTTTCTCTCTTATGTTGCCTCAGGAAAAAGAATAATTCACTGGGCAAACATCACTTCAAGTCTAGACTCTTCATCTCCGGCTTCACTGGGGTCTGCATTTCAACCCAGACGTTTCATGCTCATTTATGGGGGTTGTTTTTTGAGATGAAATGAAATTTGATTCTCAAGCCACTTCTGTGGCTGAAGGTACTTTTGGAGGGGAAAAAAAATGAGCAGATTTTCTTCCTATTGCACATGAAAGGTATGTTGGGTCTGTAAGTGCATGGGCAGTGCTCCAGCCAGAGCACGAGACAGGACAGAATCCATCCCTCATCTGCTTTTTGGTTTGGTTAAATGGCTTCACCTCAAATTAAAGCAAAACACTCCTTAAACCCCACAGAATAATTCTGAAATATGTCTATATATATTTTTTTTTGATTGGGATGTACAATCCCTGTATGCCAGGCTGCTTTTTAAGAGGGGGAAAAGCCAAGGCCATGAAGATTCACTAGATATTGAATCAGGTTGGGAACCTTTGGTCAAAATACGAAGCAAGTTCCATGTCAGCCACGTGCCATTGCATCCACCATCAGTTTGCCAAGGAAGAGCCAATCCTTTAGCTTTGCTCCCACCCTGTAGCATGTTGGACATGCTAGAGAATAGTTTGCCATCTGAACTTTTCATTTCTCTTCTGCCTCATTATTAAGAAATATATCCTTCACTTCATATTTATTAAGCTGTTAAGTCTTAGTTTTATTTTTTAATTTAGACATACATCCTTAGTGACATATTTAAGTGTTTCATAGTAAAGTATGGTAATGTTAAGTAAGTTCTTTTTTTGTTTCTTTTCTCTCTGTGAATTGTTTGACTGTGATTAACGATATCTCTTTAGATTTCTTCTCTCTAGGTGATAATTTATCACAGAGGTACAGGCCAGTTCCGCAGTCAGAGGAGGGACGGGCTTTGTCTTTTATTGGAGTGTAAACGAAGTTTCAATATATTTGTTTTTTTGTTTTCTTGCTTTAGCTATCCTAATCTTCTTTCAGCAGATACCTTTGAATTAAGCAGCACATAAATCCATCTGTTTCAGTGCTCTAGAGCAGCTGGGTTTGGATAGAGGAGACAAAGACACGGGCATCCCAGTGTGATTTGGGGCTGGAGTTCTGAAACATTTCAGTGATTATTGTATCATCTCTACCTTTGTAATATTTAATCCCAGCCTTGCAACCTCTGAGCAAAAGGTACTAAAACATCATGCCTGGTCTGGATTAATCCTGTCTCAGTTAATGGCTTCTCTGCTTAAAGCTCTACTAAAAAAAAGCCAGGGAAAGGAGGGCTTAGGGTAAAGCACAAGTGCCAGGTGGGTGGTGAAGGTGGGAGAACAGGTCTGTCTCCATCCACATGTTCTGCAGAAGACTTTCCCCCTTAATTCATCTGACTTCTTAAACACTCCTTGAATCCTCTTGCCCTGCCTTTCACTTTTGTGCTGTTGCATTCCTTTTTTAGTGTGGTAACTAACAGTCATCTCCCCAAATGGCCTTGTCAGTCCCTGGAGGGGGGGTGAGGAAAAATCCCCTCTAGTTTGTATTGGCTTTTCCTGGCAGTGCCTCCCAGAACAGGATTTCTCTTGCCTTGCCTTTCTCATCTGTGTTCTCTTGCTGCTCTGTCCCCCTGTCCTTTTAACACGATGCCTAAATGATTTATGGAACTCCAAAGGCCAGTTCAGTGCCATCTCTCCTTGTACCCTTCTCAGTTTTGCCTTCTCCCATTAGCTTTGCCACCCTTCCTTTGGAAGTGCACGTCATTCTACTGGTTTTCTGGTAGGAGGGGGGAGAATGGTCCCTGTTCTTATCCCTGGAGCATCCCTCTGCCTTCAGCCCCTCGGGAGAGCCCTGGGAACCAGAGTCTGCCCTGGAGGAGCTGATGGTGTCAAAATCCACGTCATCTCTGCTGCCTCTCAGTGCTGCCTGTTCCTGCCAGCTCTGCTGCCAGCTCTGCTGCCAGCTCTGCTCCAAGCCCTTCCCAGAGCCCCAGGCCCAGGCAGTGTCTCATCTCTGACAACAGAGCGCCTTTGCTGCAGTCTCTGCTTCTCCTGCTCTCTGTTCCTGGCCAAGCAGCAGCTGGAAGGGACTGACAGGGCCTCGCTGTGCTCCTTCTCCTCTTCCTTGGCTGCAGACGAGCCCCAGCACTCTGGGCTGGTCCTCTTGGAGTCCTGCTCAGAGCAGTGTGTTCCTGCAGCCTTTAACAGTGTCCTGTCCTTCACAAACTAAAGCTGGGGATGGTGGGTTTCATCACTTCTCTGTTTAAAACTTCACCTTGGAATTTTACTGTTTTACTCTGAATTCTTCACTGTTCCTGATCTTGTGGTGTTTGACCCTTTTAAATCCCCTGTTTTGGTTTCTTTACTGGCTTCCTCAATGACCTCTTACTCTCCCTCTTCCTCCCCCTCCAGCCCCATCTCACAATCTCTTCCTGTCCTTCAGTCTTGGAATCAAGTTCAACCACAGCCTTCAGACATAGATGGAATCCATCATTTCTCTTTCCCATCTCTTTTTAGATAAAGGCTGGAACACTAAACACGTGATTTAAACACAAATACTTTTCCTCTGGCTCCAATACTCAGATTTCTGGTTAACTCAGACAAATATATTGTGATGAAATGCTGCTCTCAGCTTGGAGGCTGCTTTCATCACAGCTCCACTAAACTTCGTTTATACTGCCAGTCTCTTGTGTGTGGGAAATGCCAAGTTTTTTCCTTTTTATTTTCAGTTTATTTTAGTGATGTCTTTTGCTCTTGTTGCTGACAGCAGAATTTGACCTGCTGGAATCTATTTTGGCCTGTATCTTTGTGTATTTTTATATATATATATATAAACTTTCTCTACACTAGGCCTCTTTGGGCTTACCCAACGCAGTTGGATAAGCGTGGAGAGACATTCCTGTGCTAGACCCTGTATTCTGTAACGCTTTAGAGCAAGATTTGGCTGCTGTCAGCACTAGCTGCAAAGCAAAACGCAAACCAAGGGGGAGATCTTGGGTTTCAGAAAAGCAGAACCGCATCCATGTTCCATTCGCTTCCGACGACGCTTCCGACGCCGCGCCTCGGGTTTCCTTTCTAATCCGTACTGCTCTCCCCTAGCTAATCCAAGGAATGGCACAGTTCCTGGTCTGCATGTGTGTCCCTCCCTGCCCGGGGCCGGGCTGTCCCCAGCAGCCCCAGTGATGGCATGGCCGGGTCCTGGGGGATTAACCACGATTTTGCCACTCCCTCGGCTGCACCAGCAGCTACAACCTACGTGCAGTGGTTCTCAGAGGGACCCCGAGGAGGGGCCGGTCCTGGGGCTCTGCCTCCTTTCCAGAGCCTCCTCCAGGCTTCCAAAGCTGCTGGATCCAGCTGAGCTGCCACCAGCGAGGGCTGCGGTCAGGGAAAGGGAACGAGCCACCCGTGGGGAGCTGCAGCACCTGGGGGGCAAAAAGGGCTGAAAAGAGTTGTGTAGATTTCCAAGAGAAAAATAGCAGGAAATACAAGAAATAAAATAGATTAAAGACGCGGCAGCGATGCCACATCCTGTATAAGCAACACCCTACAGGGGTTGCTGTGCTGGGAAGGAGTAACACCTGTTCTGTGCTTTTTCTGAGGTGTGGAGAACTTGAGAACCTCTGATGTAGGTTGTTAGTTTCTGAAGCTTCTCATTCATCCATGGAGTGGTAAAATTTTCCATGCTTTAACAGCTACATTTCAAAACCAACTTTCTTATTTTCCACGGAAAAATAACTGGAAGCTGGGCTAAGGGATGGGAGGAAGTTGCTTTGCAGCTTTGGGGAACAGGGGGAAGATAGGTTTTCCTTGGGAAACTAGGCTGAGCGAGGAGGAGCAGCAAAGTTGCTTGACTTTAACCTGCTGTCCCACAAGTATTTTGGTTTTAGCACTTTTTTTCCATTTCCTGGTAGGTGGATGAGGAATAAAATCAAATTAAAAGCCGGTTAACGAGCTCAGTTTGAAGTTGCATGTGTGAACCCACGGCAAGGCACTAATTGCCTCACGACAGGAAGTATCCATTGCAATTTTGGCAGAGTTTTTGGCAATTGAACACAAGTGTCGTTATCTGAAACCCCTGCTTGAACCCTTGGTCTGCCCCTAATACTGTTCATCATCCTGTTTTGTGTCACAACACCCTGCTACCTTGATTCACTCTTCGTCGTTGGCTAGGTTTTGGATTTATTACTTTCGAGGACGAACAATCAGTGGACCAGGCTGTCAACATGCATTTTCACGACATCATGGGCAAAAAAGTGTGTAGTTGTAGTTTTATTTTACCTTAAGAAAGAACCAAGTCTTGGGCAACGAGCGATTTCACTGGGCAGTGAAACTCAGTCCTTGACCCGGGTGGGAGAGCACGGAAGTCCAAATTCAAGGCTTTATCCATGAAGGTGGGGAAAGTCTGAGTTTGCAGGAGCGGGTGGGAAGGGCAGCTGGGGGGGTCAGCCTGAGGAGGGGAGGGCTTGGATTCAGCCTGAGGGCTCGGGCTGTGGGCTCTGCTGGTCGGGGTGAGGCCTTGTGTGTACAGACCTGGGGTTCTCTGGCAGAGCAGAGCGCTGGCATGAGCTGTGCTCACAGCCCTGCTGTGGTGCAAGGAGAGAAATCTCTGATCTCCAGCTGTCTGAAAAGCAGAATCCCAGTGAAATCCGAGTTGCTCAAGGCTTGGTTTAAGATACCACTCCTTCAGATGTAACTCGATGCTGAAATTTTGAGGTGGTGTGAGACAATCTGCTTTATATAATCTTAAACTTAAAAAGGAAAAGGGAAAAAAAAAACATCCTGAAGGATTGGTTTTTTAAAAAATTGGGTCACTTACTGTGAAACTTTGATACCAACCCACGTACTCTATATAGTATTTAACCACAATGCAGTTAAGTGACCTCTGGTTGTTTCATCTTCATACTGTGTTGTCAGCAAACGGGCATTGCATAGGGAGGAATTTTTTAGGCTGCTTTGATGTTACTCAGCAAGGAACATGCTTCTACCTGTGGAAAAAAAAAACAACCTAAAAGCAAAGTGAATTGTTGCAGGACACCCAGGTTTTATAGAGAGAAAAGAGTAACTTAAAGAAAAACGAACCACGGGACATTCTGGTAAATTGAAGTCCTTGCAGCTTTAAGGTAGATCCAGTTTTTAAAGTAAATGTTAAAACTGCTAAACTTAGAGTGAGGAGATTCAAGAAGATTTTTACATTCCTTAAATGATTGCATTGTATGATTTATTTTTTTTGTTGTCTTTAAAGTCTTTTATGTGCTATTTGATAAGCATTTCCTTACCTAGCGGGGGAAATATTCTGCATATCAGTGGAGTTCTGGTTAATTATGCAGTAAATAATGCCTTTAATTCCTATGAACTCATTTGGGGGTGAGAGGTGGGTGATTTCCTGACAGTGGAAACAAAGGAATGTGCTGGTGTGATGCAGAACATCAGGGCATGTTCTTGGCTCCTGGTGTTTTCCACAGTAGATCCCAGTGGTCTGTGTGTGAATTACCTGGATCCTGGTCTGTCCTTGGAATTGCCTTCAGTGAGCAGAGCAGCAGATACAATGGGAACAAAGGGAACACATCCCTGAGGTTCTGGGAGAGGCTGGAGAGCCCAGAGGGAGCCTCCAGATGTCCCCTCGTGCTGCTGGCTTTGGGACATGCTCTCAGTGCTTCCCAAACCAGCCCAATTCCAAACAGAAATAATCTGGGTTTCCCCTTTTCCCCCCTTCCAACGTCACACAAAGCAGAATTCGGGGATTTTCAGCTCAGAGCAGTGGGGCTGCCTCAGTTCTTGGGGTAACCTGGGCTTTAGGCAGGTGTGGAATTTGAACCTCCCTGTTCACAGGGAATTTTCAGTCCTCACTTTGGCAGTTCCCCGCTTCCAAATGTGCACTGAAAAATTAATGGGATTCTTCCACGAGGATTAATGAGCTCCAGATCCCCTGCTCTCCTCCACTGCCTAATCATGCCTGCTTTAAAAATGGTATCTCTGTCTTTTTGGTAATTAAAAAGGTATTGCTGAAATGAATCCATATGTTGTTGAAAGGGAGGGGGGGGGAAATTAAAATTGCAAGAAGGCCTCTGCTTTTGTAAGCAATAACCGAATTCCCTCAAGGCAAATGTGTTAAGACTCATTAATTTGAGTCCTTTGAAAAATTCCCCTGGTTCCTCTCTGGCAGGGCCTTGAGCTGACAGAGATTTGGTTACTGTCATGTCTCATGTCCTTGGGGCACTGGTGGGGGGGCGTGGGGGGCTTTGTCCTTGCCTTGTGCCTGTTTCCTGTTTGTTCTCCGACATGAATGGCTTTTAAGACATGGCAGGAAGAATTCTGAATACTTTATTTTCCATACTACTCAGGCCCCATTGATGATTGAGATTTATTTTCTTTGTACTCTGGCACCCATTAAAATTAATCATGAAATGAAAAAAAAAAAAAAGCCTCGAATTCAGTGAGTGCTGAGAGGGTTTCATTAAATCAGGGCTGTTTTTTTTTTTTTTGAGAGGTTTATGTTGAATGTGCAGCTTATTTTAAGTAGGTCAAATGCACTTATTCTGTGGCTGGGAACACTAGGATGTTTTATCTTGGAATAAAATAAGTTAAGCACTGTGGCTTACTAATTTTTAAAACAGGAGGGGTTTTGTCACTGACTTAACACAGTATGAAGATTTGCTTCTTATTGACTCAACTGTCCATTTTTATTACTTGCATGTTTGTTTACTTTTTTGTTAGATGTAATGTAAGATTCTCTTATCACATCCATTCCCTCTGACATTGTTTGAGTTAATTGAGATTCTTTAAGCGTTAGCCTGGGGAAGGTAAGTCTTTATCTTCCATTAGACATTTAAATAAAATCTTAAGTTTTAAAAAAAAAAAAAGAAAACAACATTTTAAAAAAAATCAATCAAAAATGTGTGTTTCTCAGGTATGAGCTGAAATTGCCATTAGCTGGGGTGGGTTAAACTGTCACTTCCAAATGAACCCCAAATGTGTTTGGTTAAAGCATTAGTACCCTTTTTCAGAGCGGCCTCTTCACTCAAAATTCTGGTTTTTTAACTGAAAACGTTGTCTCTGTGACTCCTGCCTTGCCCATTAAATCAGCCTGTCCTGAACATACAAGATTCTGCTGTTGTCAGTGCAGAGCTGCTGTAAGAGGGTACTGCTGTTTTAAGATTAAAGCCAATGACACTCAAGTGATTTTTGTAGGATGTTTTTCTCGGAATCCCTCAACAGTAGGACTCGTAATGTCTTACCATCACCTACACTGTACCTGAGAAACATTGTAAATTACCGGCCTTAAGTTTAGTAATTAAGTACTTAGACATAAGTCATAAGATGCTAAGTGTAGTGTTAAGTGTACCTGCGGGTGTGTGTGAGGGGTCGGGGGGCTCCGGGCCCCCCCGGCCCCCCTGAGCCTGCCCCTGTTTGTTTAGGTGGAGGTGAAACGTGCTGAGCCTCGGGACAGCAAGAGCCAGACTCCGGGGCCGCCGGGGGCCAGCCAGTGGGGGAGCAGGATCATGCCAAGCGCTGCCAACGGCTGGGCAGGGCAGCCCCCTCCGACCTGGCAGCAGGGATACGGCCCACAAGGTACCGCCCGCCCGCCACGGGCACTGCTTCCCAAAAACCTGCTCCACACGGGGCACGGGGGTCTGGCACCTGACCCTGGGGTCCTCCAGCTGTTCCCTCTGGATCTGCCTCCCCCTGCCCTGGGGGGACTCGGAGGAGGTGTGGAGGAGGCTCCGGGTACAGGAGCGAGGCCTGCGTGAGACCCCGGTGACAAACCGGGTCGAAATGCGGCTTTTTCAGGGGTGAGGCAGTTTCAGAGGAGGTTATAAGGAAGGTTTGAAAGGGATGAGGGGAAAACAGATGGTCTTGTCTTTGGATTTAATTGCTTAATGTAGCCTGGAAAAGCACCAGGCGGCTCTGGGGCTGGTGGTGCAGGAGCTCTTGCTGCAGCTCAGGAACCCCTCGGGCCGAGGAGCGTGGCTGGGTTTGATGGCTGCTCCCCCCACGGGGTTCTGGAGGCAGGATAAACACGCTGAGCTCACCCAGAGACAGTTTTGATAACTCTGGAGAAGTGCAGCGGGATAATTGAGTTGCTGTGAGAGATGAGAAATGTTCACCTGGGGGCTGGAGGGAGCGTGGCTGCTCCATCCCCGCTCCGACGGGGGGGTGGCAGTGCAGGGAGGGCTCCTTTCCCCACGGTGCTGATTAGCTGGGAAGCTGCAGCTGAGGGCTGACACTGGGCACAGATGTGCTAATCTGCAAGCAGAGAAACTCCATCATTTCCAGGCGGTGATTAGTGGGGAAGATGATACCTGATCTCCCGGAAAGATTAATGGCAGGAGCAAACACATTTATCCTTCAATCTCAGAGCTGCAGCGGGGGGGAAGGCTTTTCTATGGTTCAGAAACTTCAAAAACAACTCAGATAAACCTGGTGGTAAATTACAAATCCTTTGGATGTTTGGTCTGCTGGGATTCTCCAGGATTTTGGTCTTTACAGTTGGTACGTGGCAGCCCTCAAATGCTCCATCTGATTTGGGTTTGGGGACTGCTGCCTCTTCTGAGTGTTGTCTGAATGGTTCAGAGTCTTTCCAGGATGGTGTATTCAGAAATAGGCCCAGAATATTTCTTGGACCCTAAAAATAGATGTGTAAGGGACACTGGGAGGATACCCAGTCTACCCCAGAGCCAGATCCCTGCTCTTGCATCATCCCTGCTCCAGAGTGGGCAGCTTCAGCCATGTCTAAGGCTCCTTTTTTGTTCTGTTGTAGGGATGTGGGTGCCAGCTGGCCAGGCAATTGGTAAGTACATTACATGGGACCAATCCTGACAGAAAAAATCCTCCTGAGTGCGGGCACAGCTTCTCTGAGCATTCACAGTGATCTGGGGGTTTCTGTGGGATTTAACCTACATTTAAAAGCTTGATTGAATTTGTCCTGGAAGAACGAAGGGGAAGACAGTGGATTCTTAACAGCTCAGTAATGGGAGCTGACACACATGCTGCTGCTCCAGCCACATTAATTTGTTATCAAGGGATTACATGCTAAACTGCAATTATTTACAGTGGGGATACTTGGAGGACAAATATTTCCCAAAGAAAGGATTCATAGAAGGCTGAGCCTGCGTTTGAAATCCATCCAACAGCCTTACCCCATCTAGAGGAAGCTGACTCCAGCAGCAGCTCCTCAGTATTGATCTGCTTCATTTTTGGGGTTTCTCTTGGTTTTGCAGGTGGATATGGACCCCCCCCTCCGGGCAGAGGAGCTCCTCCCCCTCCTCCTCCATTTACCTCATACATAGTCTCCACACCTCCCGGGGGATTCCCACCTCCACAAGGATTTCCACAGGGCTATGGCACCCCTCCACCATTTAGTAAGTGACCCTCAGAGCTGGAGCACATCCAGCACCAAATTCAGCTTTTGCTCATCTTCCCCTGGACTTGGATTTTCCCCCTGTGTCTCACCTATCCTTAACTGTTTTCTATTCTGAGCTGTAATTAACTATATCCTTATTTTTGCTGGTGAGTTGAATTATTTTTTTCTTGGATGCAGTAATGATTTATATTCTCTGGTTTAAGTCTGTGTTGCTGAACAAATTTAGATGTATTTTGTACCCTTGTTACAGCACCTGAGAGAAAACTTAGAGCTCACTGCTCATGGCCAGACAGAGATTTTTGGAGGAGCTTAAGGAATTAAGGTCACAACTGGCATCGGAAATACAAATAGGATTTTAGCATCTCCCCTCTTCAGGCCATCTTTTCAAAAGTCTGGTCACAGACCTGGTTTAAAGAAGGTGGAAAGTAGCCCCCAGTTATCTGGAGTAGCAGATAGCACCACGTTATCCTCCCAAGATCCTGGATAACACAGCTTCCTCCTCATTCCTCACGTGGTGTGAGCACAGAGCTGGGTCCCCAGGTCTGCTCTCTCCCTCCCTCTGTGCTGGTTGCTGCAGTCTCTACCTTGGGGGGGATATTTTTCATACCTGTGGCAGGTAAGTTGTCGGGGTCTCTGAGCCATGGTGGTTACCTGTGCAAGGGTGAATCACTGTACACCCACTTTGGTTTTAATAGATTAGGAATGGGTTTTTTTAATTATATCATGTTCTAAAGCCAAGCAGGACGTCGGGGTGGTGTTCACCTGAGTGTTTTCACATGTGTTTTGTACTTGCTCGTGTTCCAGGTTTTGGTTATGGTGCTCCACCTCCTCCACCTGACCAGTTTGCCCCCCCTGGGGTCCCTCCTCCACCTGCCACTCCAGGGGCAGCACCACTCGCTTTTCCTCCACCACCACCACCATCTCAGGCAACTCAGGACATGAGCAAACCCCCGACTGCTCAGCCAGAATTCCCTTACAGTCAGTTTGGTGAGTAGCTGCTCGAGCTCCCTCCCCTTCCCTTGCCTTGGGTAGGGAGTCAGTGCTGGGCACAGTTTGCCAGCACTGAGGGCACTGCTCTGGGATGGGAACGCTCCCACCAGCCCAAGCCATCCTTAAATCATGCAGTAATCAAGCCAGAGGGCTCTTTCTTAGTCAACTCTAAAATGTTGCTTGTGTGCTGTGAAATAATCTTCAGAGGCTTGTGCACTGCCAGGATGAATTCCTGGTTTCCACTCCCCCCAGATCTGTGGGTAAAACTTTTTGCTCCAAGAGCTTCACAGAGCTCACGGTGAACTTTTTTTGTGTAACAGACCTTGAGATTGGAGAGCAGACTTCAAGAGTGAAAGCAGCATCGAGAGGCAGGCAGTGCAGGTGTAAGGATCCAAGCTGGTGTCTTTTCCTCCCTTTTCCCATTCCTTCCCCAGCTCTCTGGAGGTGTAGCTCTGTAAAGCTTTGTTGTGCTCTGTAGATGACTTTCAGGTAGGTGATAGAAGACACTGAGGTAACAAGTTTTAAGCCAGGCAGACAGTACTACAAAAGATAAAATCTTGTAAAAATTGCTAGACAAGTGCTTGTAAAACTTCTGAGTAAAACTTCTGCTGCTGTTCCCCGTGGAAGCTCAGAGGGAATTCTCATTCTCCTCTTGCTCCTCTCAGCCCTGTGCTCGAGCAGTGCTCTCCAAAGAGCTCTGCAGAGAACTCTCCAAAGAGCTCTGTACTGCTTTTTTTTTTTTTTCCTTTAAGGGATTGTAATTGGTCACTTTTGCTTCTGAAGGGAATTTTTGCAAGCAGCAGCCCTGTGGATTCAGGCTGTTCCCTGCCTGAACACGTTCTCCATGTGGTAGTGCTGCCTCGTGTGAAGTGCCTGCAGAAACTGCACTGAGATAAACACTTCACAAAATCTATTTAAATAGATGCTATTCAAAGTCCCAGCAGTGTAAAGCAGACACTGAAGGAGGATGAGCCTTTCACATGTGTTTGTAAAGCAGAATTTGTTCTCGTGCTGAGGAATTTGAAACGTTTTTTCATTTGTTTGTTACAAACATGGTTGATTTTCATGGGTGGTTTTGCCCTCGTGACTCAAGGAAGTTTTTCTTGTCCTGCCAGAACTTGGCTCTCTGCAGACTCTTTTAGGGGGGTGAGAGGCAAGAATGAGGCTCAGATGTGGGGTTTTTGTGTAAGGGCAGTGCAGCTCCTCATGTTTGTGAGCTGGCTGGGTGAAAACCCCCAGCTGAACTGGGCCTGACACTGTTCCCTGGCCAGGCTTTATCCTGGTAATGGATCCGGGCTCCTGAGCCAGACAGTCCAAGCGTCCCAGACAGAGGGATTGGAGCAGGGATCAGCAGCCAGGGGAGGAAGGCAGCGTGTCCTGAGTGACTCTGCAGGTGTGTGGGGGGGTTTCCTTTGTGATAAACAACGTGAGCCCGGGGGGAGCTGTGGTTTGCACCACAGAGCTCTGCACTTGAGTGACAGTAACTCAGGGTTTGGTTTTTTCCACTCCCAGCGAACAATTCAGCTGCAGTTCTGGGTCCCTGCTTGTCTGTGTCCAAACAAATGCCAGGGGGAGCATGTGGGGCTCCCAGAGACTGTCAGAGCTGTGGTTTAGGCTTCATTAGTGGCAGCAAGTCCTGAGGGACAGGCAGAGCTTGAAACTGAGCTACTGAAGATGTGCTAAGAGACTTTGTTTGGGATTAAGAGAGTTAAACCTGCTCTAAGCCTGCTCAGAGGGAGGCAGCACTGCAGAAATGCACTTGGTAATTAGGAGCCTTAATACCATCCTTCAGAGCAGGGGCTGGCACTGATGCCAGGATTAAGAGTTGTATTTAATTGCAGGAATTTGTATTAAATTTCTCAGTGTTCCTAATTTACATTTAGTTGTGTTTCTTATTGGCAGCAGGAATTCTGCCCAGTCCTCCATCTGCACCCTGGTTTTTTTCCCTGTCCCCAGGTTCTGCTCCCTCTGTGGTGTGGGTTATGTCACAGAGAGGTGGTGACAGTGTCCCCGAGTTGGGCACAGTGTGGCAGAGAGAAGTGCTGGGGGAGAACAAGATGAATATTGACTGCTGGGTGCTTTGGCTGAAAGTGTAGTTGGGACACGGCAGGTTTGTGGGTGTCCAGCTGGTGAAGCAGAGTGTGGTAACTGTGTGGTCAGTCTGAGGCACTCTGAGATTCCAGGGAACTCCTCCTGGCCACACCTCTGCCCGTGCTGGACCTGGCAGCTTTTAGCCAGGCAAGAACCCAGCCCAAAATGAAGGTGCCCAGAAGGAGTGACAGCCCCCCTGGGAGCCCCCTGGGTGTGACTGGAACTGCCAGCCTGGCTGGGATCACCCCAAAATGCAGCCCCCCCGTTCCTGCACACCTGTCCCCTTCTCCTTTGTGCCTGCTCCCCCTGTGTGGAAGGTGAATCCCTGTGGGAGCCCAGGGCAGCTGCTTCTCCAAGGGGCTGGGCCGGGGGTGTCCCAGGGGCCCGGCACCGCGGGAGGGAGCGGAGTTTGCTGCTGCTGGAAGCTGATCCTGTGCCTTTCCCTTCTCCCAGGGTATGGACAAGACTTGAGCGGGTTTGGCCAAGGTTTCTCTGATCCCAGCCAGCAGCCCCCTCCCTACGGAGGCCCCTCGGTGCAGCCCTCCAGCGGCCCCCCAGCCGGAGGCAGCGGCTTCGGCCGGGGCCAGAACCACAACGTGCAAGGATTCCATCCCTACCGGCGCTAGCCTGGGCTGCCAGTCAGGGAGTGCTGTCCACAGGGAGCTCTGGGACCAGCTGAACCCCGGGATCCCAGACTTCTGAACTTGTGACAATCACATACTTGATGGAAGAAAAACCTAACAACAATTTTTTTTGGGGGGTGGGGGCAGATGGCTTCTGAAGGCAGAGCTGTGGGTGTTTGGACTGCAGTTTTTAAAGATTTTTTCCTTTCTCTAACCCATCAGCACAAATAAAGAAAATGTCACTGGTTCAAACTACAGGGTTTTAAAAATGTCTTCAGCTTTAATTCAAAACTTCAGGTTTCTTTTTTTTGAAATTATTTTTCCTGAGCCTTTGTTTTACCGTATATTGTAAACTTTTATGTTTAAAAGAAAAAAAAAATATATACATTTACAGATTGTGAAATTTTTAAGAGAAATTTTCTACTATGTATGCTGGCTTATTTTTTAATTTAAAACAGGGTTTCCGTGAGCGCTGTCGGGGGGGGGAGGGCTGCAGCCCCTCCCTCCCTGCCCAGGGCAGCGCTGGGGCGGAGGGATCCGAAACTCTGGGAGTTGACAGAAATCTACTGAGTGTATTTTGCTGTTGTTGTGGGGGGGCAGAGCTGGGCCAGGGCAGGGGCAGGACCCGCGGGCACGGAGGCCCTGGTGGGTCTGGGCCTCCCTCGGGTGCCGGGGGCTCCGCGGGGTGTAGATTTCCCTCAGGCAAAAGGTTTCGGTGCGTTGGGCACTGGAGTGCTGAGCCCTGGTTTGAATAAAGACAAGAACCTTTGGATTAGAAACACCAGCCTGTCTCCATTTTTCTGGTTTTTTTTTTTTTGCTTTTTCTTGTGAGTTCGGGTTTTCCTGAGAGATCCGTCGGCAGAGTCGCCTTCCCTGGGGGGTCATGGGCTGTGCCCTCTGGGGGGACACGGCTGTCCTTGGCTCCCACATGGATCACATCCCACCTGCTGAGGGGCTCTGACCTGGATCACATCCCTCCTGGCCTGTCCCTCTGTTGTCACTCATGTCTTGGTGGCAGTGGCATCCAGTGCTGCTCTTCACCCAGCCTCGAGGCGTCGAGGCACGGTGGCAAAATGGGCAACTTATGGATTGACCAGCTGCTCTTCAGTGGCTGTAACTCTGACCTGGCTCTTCTGGAATGTCACCCTGGGGTTTGGCTCTGAAATGTGGGGTTGAGCCCTGTGGGAAAGGGACTGGCGGAGGTGGGACTGGCCCTTGGCTGAGGTGAGAGTTCATGTCAGACCCGAATCTCACCCACGGAACCTCCTCCAGGGGCTGGGGCTGTGCTCATTAGTCCTCTGCTGTAATTAATGAGGTGGCATTGCTCTGCAGTCGTGCACTCTGGGATGTGGAGGTCGCTGGGTCGCTCTCAGAAGGGCTTGGATCAGTTCAGAGGCTGTTCTGTGGTTCGTGTGGATCGTGCCAGTTCCTCCCCGTGGATGCTCCGGGCTCGGATCCTCATGTCTCTGCTCCTCGCTCCCTCACATCCAGAGCTCACATGCTTGGAGCATCCCTGGAACAGGAGCTGCTCCAGTTGTGGTTTTGTGCAGGTGTCACTTCTGAGACCACCCGGACCCTGGGTGAGGTTTGGGCTGCAGGAAACACCGTGGAGAGGATACAACCCAACAGCTCCAGGGACACACGGAATGGAGGGGACCTGACGTCTGCAAGCTCTTCTGGCACAAAGGGGTTTGGATTCGGGTCTCTTCTGCACAGAACTGGCTCTTCCAGGTTCCCGTGGGCCGTTAGATCTGCTGGAACCTCCCGGACCGGGGGACAAACCGGATCGACTGGGGCTGAGAGGAGCCTGTTGTGCTCTGCCACACCCGGCGTGTCCTCGGCTCAACCGGGAACAGGCGCCGGGGGCAGGGCAGCGGGAGGGGAAGGTCTGGGGGTGAGGGATGGAGGTCCATGTGTGAGGGTGAAGGTCTGGGAGTGACGGATGAAGCTCCACGGTTGAGGGATGAAGGTCTGGGGGTAAAGGATGCGGGTCCGTGGGTGAGGGATGGAGGTGGCTCCCTGCAGGTGACGGTGCTCACACCTGCCCAGGTGTGTCTGCGAGGCCCAGGCTGTGCCCCCGAGGTGACTGATGTGTCCCCCTGGTGTTCCGCCTTGGGCCAGCGGCAAGGAGCGGTTCCAGGGGCCCTGAGCCCCGCCGGGACCGAGAGGGGC